CCCAGCAGTACTATTTTTTCCAATAATAGCTTACAATCATGTTTACAATTATTAACAACACAAGACAAAATGTTTATTAATATTTTCTGTTAATTGTTTATTATTTGTTCGTTTTAAAAAAAGTGTAAAATATAACAACATTTTAAACAGTAGCTGTTTATGGTGCACGGCAGCAGTTATTTAGAAAATAATAAGCGAAAAAAATAAAATAATCCCCGATCGTAATTTGTTGTTTGTCTTTACGCTCTGTATGATTTGTAAAGAAAAGTCGTACAATGTCAGAGACACGAAGAATATTATAATACATAAAATATAAATAAAGTATTTATGATGTACGCGAATCACATCATAAAATCTAAAATGTATAATGTAGAGTACATTACTAGATTTGAAACGTCTACATTTACTACGTATCCCAGCCGGAGCACATCATGTTCGTCGTTATTTTGGTCTTTAATGCGTAATAAAATTAATTCATTGAAGGCCGCTGCGTAGACATTATAAGGTCACAATTGACTGCTCAAGCTCAGAACCACTTGTTCGCCCTCACTTTCCTTTGTGATATTAATACTTTGACTACCTCGATAAAATACTTTGACTGCAGGAAGGTACAATTTAACTGGAACCTATGCGATTTATGGCAGCTTTTGTCCTCCAGTTAGGTAAGTCTAAGTCATATTCCCTTATTTTAAGAATAAATTATAGCACTAGTCAATCAAAAACTCATATCCTATTTCATTTATTTTAATTATTGCATAAAACATCGACAACAATATTCGTTTAAGAAAAAAAATCTTATATTACTCACTAACGTATAAGTCTATGGCCGTGGAAGGAAAAGGGGAGATCTCCCACCGGGAAGGTGTTCAGCCCGGGGAGCGGCCAACGCTCCGTTTGTTATTTCGGAGCTGTTCCTTATGTATATATAGAATGGTACTTCGAAACTTTGATAGCGTGATTTAGGTTTCAGTGTGTTTTCGCTTGTGGTTTTTTCGGTGTGCTTCCGTTTTGAGGGAATTTGTCTAAATCGTCACGTTTAGAAGGTGCATGGACTGATGCAGAACGAGACATTCCGCACTTTTTTACGCTGTTGTTCATTTTCTCTGATGTTAGTGCTGTTAGCCGGTTCGGCTTTTACCGCTTTATCGGACTTGCTGCTGCCTGTCGGAAGTCTAGAAATTTTAAGTCTAGCATGCACGAGCTGACTTATAGTGGCGGCGCTGGAGAACCCTATCCCATATCATCACCTGGCTGTCTTAAAAGGCAATAGAGGGAAACTAAAACAGGAGATAAAGCAGTATAATAACTGAAAATAATTAAAAACTGCGATTGCCGTGCCTGTCAAGCGGGTGGCCACAAGGCCATCTACCGGGGAGGATTTTGTTCAGCAGTGGACATATGGTCTGTGCGTGCATAATTGAATAAACAAGATGGATTTAAGGCCATCTATTAGAAGCCACATATTTTTTTTTCTGGAATTTCTCAGAGTCATATTTTGCGACATCCACGGGACGATATCGTGTGATCGCTTCGCTTACGCTGCCACCACACAGGAAATAGTTTTTATAGGTTTTATTTTTACCAAAGTTTCTTTTAAAGTCCTTCATTTGATGACGGCTTTGGTCGATCGTTCGTCCGACTTTATATTGCACAACAGACGGTCTCCAAGTTACAAGAGCTGGGGTTGGAAGCTCTCCGTTATCCGCCGTACTCACCAGCCGTTGTGCTTGCACAGATTTCTACTTCTTCCAGAATTTTTATAATTTTTTGACGGGAAATAAAACTTATCCTATCTTCTTCATGGCAGAATATTACCAATACCAAGAGAAATCTGCTTGTAGTTACAGATCCGAATCGAATACGTATGATAATTCTACATAGTAGCAAGCATTTAGTGCGTATTTACAATTTTCAAAATTGAGATATTTTGTTCCCCCTTAAATTGGCGGTTCATCCAGCTGTAAACTAAATGTCATTGAGTCTTAAGCTTACTGATCTAAAGGCTTAAGAATAAAACTAAATAACAACTCTTATTATGCCCTTGATAATCTGGTAAGACATGCAGGATCGATGGATCGAGTCGATTGATGCAGGTGGCTCAGGACCGTGCTTTGTGGCGTTTTTTGGGGGAGCCCTATGTTCAGCAGTGGACTTGTAATGATGATGATTATAGGAAATGATTGTTTTTTATACGTGGATGATGAATTTCAAACTTGATAGAGTCACGCTGCAGATATAATATTATGGTTGTAGCTCGAATGGGTCGGCTCAACCGGAGAAGGAGAACACTGTAGCAAGGTCACCGAACCGGTCCCGTGCCCTTAATTACAAAGTCGGGCCTCGACCGAGCAATTACCGTTGCGCCGTGATGCAGTATACTCGTCCGAGCAAAAATAGTGTTGTAACTAGACTACAATCATGTTGAAGTTTGACGATCTGGAATTAGCGGCTATCGCGATCACTCTGGACGATGAAGAATCTGATAAATCTTCAACTCCAAGTCGGGACCGAGTTGTTGCCGAGCGTTGTCCGCTGCTCGGCCGTCACTCGGTTGCCGCTCGGTATAGCGTAGGTGTGTCCATACAAAATATATGTAATTTTAGTTGACCGTGCTACGGCCGACACTCGGCTCGGACCGACACGGTCTAGCGTGAGACAACGTTAATACTGCTGTGTTTCATATAGTGTGTGTAGCGACCCAGAGACCCTTTTTTACTGAAAACGAGGCGTTCCATCTTAGTCCTCAGAGGTGACAACGCATCCGCATTTTGATTCGTAATCGAGAATAGATGCAGATGTCTACGGGCCACAGCAACCACTTAGGTGAACTGTGTGCTCGTTTGTCACCTTCATTCTATAAAAAAAAAAAACTAATTTTATCACATAGAAAAATCCGTAAGAGAGTCGATTCTATAGCTCGTCATGCGATTTTGAGATTCCACATACAATCAATCAATCAGCAATAAGCGATAATGTCTCGGTTGCATATGAGTGACGGCAATACTCCTTGTAATTTTTGTGTAAGATTCCGAAGTATAGGACGAAAAAATGTTAAGACTCAATTTTCCAAGCCGAGATTCGTTGTTTGAAGTCGAACATGAGGTTTTAAATATTTGTCAACATTGTCGTGTTTGATTCATATTTATTGTACTGCCATCTATTCGATATTGTGTAGACGCCAGTTTCAATCCGGGACGGTAATTCCATTACTAGCACAATGCAAACTTCGTATTTTCATTGTATGGGTAATGAGATGGGAAGTACTCAGTTCTCTGTCCCATTTCTAGTTTTGTCAATGAAAGCATTGTCATATGCTTCAGCTGATGTTGTATATGTGTACAAGTTGAGCGTTTTTATAGAAGTAAATCAGCTGTTTATTTAATACAATTTTAAGCTTATTCCTCGACTTTAATACTTCATGCCAGTCTGACTCTCTTGCAATAGCTGATTGCAGAATATGTACGAAAAATATTATAACGAAAATACGATAAAAATATATATAATCATGATAAAAATGTCATTATAGCCTTTACCAATATGAAATGGACATTTTTTGCATAGTTATATATTGTTATCAAATACAATGAAGGCGTCAACTAAAGAAAGCGAGTCGCTATCAAGCTGCGTAATACTAGCGACTCGTCCCGGGTTCTGGTGCGATACAACAGCGTGGTATTCTTATTATGAGTTTACCACATTACGCATATTTCTCTACTATCCTTACTTAAAAATATTCATTTAATATGATACACATAACCGATTAACTGAAGGTGAAAATTGTTTCAAAATCCAAAGTACACACAGAGACACTATAAGCGAATTCATTTTATGATATTTAGTCATTATAATATCGCCAACAAAAATGTATTCATTAATTTTAGCTCAGACCGGTATACGATTCATATCCACGAAGTATATAAAATAAATTTGGAATCGGAAGCCGATTTAAATATAATGAATATTCGATCGGTTTGAATCATTATTATATAAAGCTAAGGGCGCACTCTCATTATATGACGAAAATGTTAGGAGAATAATATGAGGAGGTTAGCAACAAAAAGTGTCATTTACAGTTTTTAAATTTTTAAGTAAATTGAGAAAATAAATATTCAAGTTGATCTAAGTAATTTTTATTATTTTTATTAAGCATTTATGTGTCAATTATTTTATAAAATTTAATGTATTATAAGGTTATCTTACTGGTTTTGAAATTTAAGTAAAAGTAAAGTAAAGTTACAGCCTATATACGTCCCACTGCTGGGCACAGGCCTCCTTTCATTTCTGAGAGGGTTTTAGGGCAAGGAATAATCCGCGCGCTGCCCCAATGCGTGTTGGCGAACTTCACATGTCTTCGAAATATTTTTTTTCTTATTTCTCAAACATGCAGGTTTCCTCACGATGTTTTCCTTCACCGTTGAGCACGTGGTAAATCAGCACTTAAAATTGCAATTAACAATTTCATTGGTGCCGGCGGGGATCGAACCCGGTTTGCTCGCGTATTGTGAAATTTACAGTGAGCGCTAACCATCTGAGCTACCACGGCTCTGTTTTGAAATTTGGAAAAAAATAATAAAATACGTATCAAATGACACCTTTTCATTTAGCATGTAATTTCCCAATAGCATTTAAATGTCACTACTTGATTCAATAATTTTTACATTTATACGGTTATACACGTGATTTACCTATACGCTTCTATACAAAATCACACAGCATTTATGTCCGGTACTGTACCCGGTTTGAACCGACTAAAGACTTCAAACATATTTCTTAAGAATATTCACAATATTCAGTCACTTTTTGAATTCAGGTCTTATTCAGTTCGATTTTTCTATGAAACTAGTAACTTTTTAAACAAAATCTTGGGAGTTACAGATAGAATTTAACGTTTTGAGCCGATTAAAATTAAAAAAAAAACGAATGGAACAGAATACGTAATCACGTTTTGTTTCTAATCTCCTCATATATAAATACGTGGCGAAGTATTGTGGAAAACTTACTTGGCATTTTTAGGTTTAGTGTCAGGTTGACAGCAGGCTCGGTACCGCAGTACCGCTTCAGTGGGTGAGAGGGCGTCGGTCTCGTCCGCCGGCGCATCGCACTCGTCCGTGACGAGTGGCGCCCGCGCCGGCGACGTGTGCGAACCGTATCCGTCCGAATTCAGCTAAATAACGAATAAAACAAATTTAGTGTCGTTATACTGGCTGCGTTTGGCAGAAAAAAGCGCTAGCAAGCGCTTGTAAGCAAAATGGCGATCGTAAGCGGTAAGAGCTGTCAAATCGTAAGTTGCTATTTTCGTCTAGGACACGAAGTTAATTTTAACCGGGGAACCTAACCTAATTTAAATATATGTTTGTAAAGTATTCAAATTAAAAACATAAATTTTTAATAACATGTATAATATGTTTATTCATGTCATTATATTACTCAAAACTAATATTGCACAAAACAACTTATAAACTCTACTTCAAAACCATTGAAGTAATATGTACTTACGTACTAGAACAGCTATCTTAAACAAAAAATGTGCGCTACTCTGTGTTCGCGCGGTTGTTTTTTATCATAGTATAAACATAGGTAGAATGACCCGTAGGTAATAGTAGATTGTATTGTTAAAGAGGTAAATTATATCGAGAACAATTATTATTTTGTATATTATATCTGCTTATTTAATATAATATAACATAATATTATATCACGATTACATTTTAATGATATTTTTAGCTGAATATTTCAAAAGGTATCTATGTCAAATATAAAAAACATATTAAATGTATGTTTAACAAAACTTATTAATATAACATTTAAATTATAAATATATTTAATTAAATTAGAATAGAAGTCGTTCATAAAATGCTGGGCACGCGAGAGTTAAAAATGGACGAATTTATTCCACTTTGACTTTGATGTGGAAACCCAAAAATAAAATAAAAGAATAATAAGCAGATTTTAACATGAAAAAATTAGCCTAATTATAGTAACTTATATATCTTTCTACAAAAAAAAACATGTGTATATTAATATATTCGTCCCATGGTTAAGTACCCACAGAAATGTCGTATCTGAACATATTAATTTCATAATCTATATTCCATGAGTCCATGACGCGAGATGGCGTCTTAGGAATAATTTGTTTTATTATTAATATATAATACTTTTTTATTGATTAAGTATCTTATTAACCGATGAAAAGTATTTCCTTGGTTTTACTGACATTTCTTGAATTATTTGTGCAATATCTAAGTATATACGACGACATATTTTTATCAAGAGATTTTTTTTAAATCAACACATCACGTGACAACTCCACAAGCGCCCAGCGAGTGACTGATTTAAGTGCGGTGTATGCACCGCAGTTGAGTGGAACAGAGTAGCTGAATGCAGTGTCGCCTCTAGTACGTGGTACATATATAATAGCTCAATGTTCAAAACAAACAAATTAAATAAGCAAAATGGCGGATTCTGTCAGCGCTACTGAAGTTAGCAAACGTGTCCTGGCCGAAAACTGCTTAGTTTCGCCATTTTGCTTACAAGAGCTTGCTAGCGCTTTTTTCTGCCAAACGCAGCCATTTATTCCTAGACAGGATGATTCAATGGAATATGAAACCCACTAGAACTTAAAATTATAAGAAAATTAAATGAGAAATAAATAATATCCTGAAAATTGCTTATTACGCAAATTAGCAAATTAAGAATAGCAAACCTCTGTTAAAAAGAACATAACATTTTGTAATTTAAATTATAAAACACATATCATCCTTAACTAACACTATAATTATTAAAATTTAAAATTAAACCCTGTGATACAAATTTAATGTAATATCAATATTACTTAAGGTAGGTCATGAATTTGTCAGGCGAAATGATAACTTCTTAGTCATTATCTTTACAATTAAAAAGTGAGACCTCTACAGAGAAGTATGGGCAAGAAAAGTGGTAAGTATTGTTTTTCCTGTTTTCTTTTTTTAGAAAAAGTGATGATTTCATAATATTTAATGATTCAATGGAATTATATTATATTGGTATTACAATCTTTTTCGTCATACGTCCTCCGTCATACATCTCATTCCGGAAATAGTTGTGTCTAAAAGCTGCTGCTATTACAAAAGACTTTAAAATTATATGTAATGGTGATGAATGTGACATCTTACTTTGACGATGGTGCCGACCTGGGTGTCTTGTATTTGTTCGAGGGCGCGATCGTGGGTTGGCTCCCGCACTTCCCTCGCCTCCCTTGCCTCCCTCGCTTCTCTCGTCTCTAGGGTTTCCACCGGTGCGCCGAGCAGTCGCTCCTTCATCTCGTGGATGTAGGGGCAACGCTGCATCGCGATGTAGAATTCGCGGACGCGCACCTAATAGGCGAAAATTCTAGTTACATAATCTAGAACTACTTTAAAAAATAATTACAAAATTATCTACATATTAACTCAGAAGTGATTGAATAAAGAAAATAATGTCCGAAAAAAAGCTAAAAATTCTTCTTTTCTTTTTTTATTAGCATGTAGCTGTCCACTTTTGGCATTAGCTTATTATTTTATCTGTGGTAGAGCAATGCTGCAGTTATATTAGTAGTATAGTTGTAGCACGAATGGGTACTCTACCGGGGAAGGGCCACGCTCTTACAGAATACCAGCGTCAATAGTAGCTTAATGCTGCTTTGTTTCGTGTGGTGAGTGTAGAGAACCGGAGACCCTTTTACTGGAAACGAGGCATTCCACCTAAGTCCTCACGGGTGACAATGCATCTGCATTTTGATTCGTAATCGAGGATAAATGTAAATGTCTATGGGCCACAGCAACCACTTAACATCAGATGGACTGCGTGCTCGTTTGTCACATTTTATAAAAAATAAATAGGGCTATTGAAAGTAGAAGTAAAGGTTTTGATGGCGATCGGTGACCTGCAAAAGCTACTTACTTCACTTTTTACTTTTTTAGGCAGGGTAGGTAGAGTTATGCTCTACATGTGGTAGAGTCATGTTGCAGCGTATTAACGCAGAAGCATGAAAGTACGGCTCAACTAGGAAAGGACCACGTTTGCGCATACACTTGAACACTATAATCCATAACCCTACGCCGACGGCTAGTCTCCATTGGGGCTGGCTGGCGGGACCGAAATTCGGTCACACAAGTCACGGAACAAACTCAATGCTTATACAACACGTGCTGATAAGGAAGTGCGAGCTTATGTTTGCGTGAAATTCCGGATGGTGTGAAGTTGTCGCGTTATAAGGAAACCTCACTCAACTGCTTGCTTATTTTCTTTAATTATTATTTACTTTCCTAATGGGTTTTTGTTTAACAAATCTTTAATGTTTTAATGCGTTGTTATTTGTTATCTCTACATAATAGTTCCGAGTTAAAATGTTTAGACTATCAGAATATCAAAGTTTGAGTGAAAGAAATTGCTTCCGTTGTTTTCAGTGTCATGTTTGCTTACAAAATTATCTATTCATATCCTTATGTGGATATGGTAGAAAAGTCTGACTTAAAATAATCAAGTTAGGGGACGGTCTATATTGACAAAAGTGCGAAATGTTTGTAATGAAAAGCGTTCGATATATATATATATATATATATATATATATATATATATATATATATATATATATATATATAATGGTATTTAAACTCGAATATAGAGAATGCTTTTAGCATTAAGTCCTCCTTTTGTACAGGATGCGAAAGGGTAAGTGCAAACGTATAAACGTATATTATTTTATCTGGCTGTGACTTGATAGTTGATACTAGATCTTGACAAATTAATCGACATAGCCGGGGAACGACCTCTAATATTCCAGATAACCTGTGTTACAGTTCTTGTAACTATTATTTATTCTGTGGTAACAGGTAATGTACTTCTATGGTCAGTGACAAAAATCTGGAACTAAGTAGTAGTGTACCGATCCAAAAGTAGGTAAAAATAACAGGATGTAGAATGCGTATTCAAACGCGTTCTACATCCTAATTCTTCATTGACATTATGGGGCTGTCAAGCTATATCAGTCGTTACCTTTAGATGGACATTTCGATTAATTGTCATTCCTTAACATACAGTTAAAATGAGATGTTCCAAAATGTATAGAGCATGGGCCAGGTCCTTATACACTATACTCAAAAATAGGGAAACACATTTTAACCAGTTTTCAACTGTCCAATTATTTTATAATCGCCTTGTTTGCTGGTAAAGCACAGGAAATTACACTTGAAATTGCAACACACAATAAAAACCCGTCATGGCGGTAAGCTGTCATTTTTATTGATTAGTGACGTTTAACATGCTTATTTCACGCATTTTGACACTCTTATGACAACTGACGGTTATCTTTCTATGATTCAATGGTTGTATTATGGTTTACTGTCATTGTTCATAAGCACAGAGTAACTAAAACGGTGAGACGCCATGTTGAAAGTCGATAAAATAGTTGATAAACATCTTATAATATCTAACTCCACAATATTACTTTGAATTTGATATACAGAATGTTTGGAAAATGGGTTAAAAGTTTGAGGGGGATGATAACTTAAACCATTTAGAACATATTAAGCTAAGCTTAATGTAGTATGTTCTAAATTCCTCAAAATAATTTCCAAGCGTCTTCATCATTAGAAAAACATTCTACGTATATTTAAGTTTAAGAAACCACAATTAAATTAAGGAAATGTTGTGTTTATGCCATAATAGAAAATAGCCTTTGTTGTTCAAACCTTTTCATAAACATGCTTAGTTTTTGCTCTTTCTTTTGAGGTATTATTTACACAGATCTCTCATCAACTCTTTGAATTAAGGTGTACAAAACAAATTTTGGACGAATATTTTTAATTTTTAACAGACAGGGAGCGGTCCGAAGGTGAACTGTAGCTCGCCCGCCCTGCGTTGACGCTGTGCGTTCAGTAGCGATGAATAATCTTTTTTTAATTTATTTTGTTTTTATTTATTATTACGAAACAAATTGTATCTATGAATGTTAAAAAAAAACAAAATAAACAAAAATAAATGAATGTTGCTAACTGTACTGTTAAGACTTACGTCACAGTGCAAGACGCACAGTTAAGTCGCACGGGTTGGGATCCATTAAAGCTACAGCGAATCTCGAAAACAGGTTACTTAACTGCGCTTAATTGATTAATAACGTTTGTGTGCGTTGCTAAACAAGCGTGCATTCTTTTTGTAACTCCGTAGGAATATGATGGCGTAGATCACGGGAACGGATATGAAAAAAAATCAATTAACTTATAGTTTGAGTGTTGACTTTTAAAGTATAAATTATTTCCTAATACCCTTTTTTAAAGGAGCTTTTTCGATAGAATACGAATGACAATGTTATTTAATTTACAATACATAATTCTTTGGGTTTGCTTCTTTAATGCCGTATGATGAGTGTAGAGAACCAGTGACCGTTTTTACTGGAAACGAAGCATTCCACCCTAGTCCTCACGGGTGTCAACGCATCTGCATTTTGATTCGTAATCGAGTATAGATGTAGGTGTCTATGGCCCACAGCAACCACTTACCACCAGGTGGATTGTTTCCTAGTTTGTCATCCTTATGCTATAAAAAAATTCAAATTGTGTGTCTTAATAATTTTCTATGCTCGCCTTTTCTCCTTTTTTAATAATTTTACCGTTAGTTTACATACATAAATTGCACAGATACAATCCAGAATCCAGATCTGGAAAAATTATTTCTATTTTTTTTGCCATTCAAATACTTGTTCCGTGTGGGATTCGAACCCGCGACCCTCAGAGCGGCAACTCATTGCTAAGCCACTGCGCCACGGAGCCGTCATGCATTTCATAAATTACTATAACGGCTTTTTGCTTGATCCCATTTTTTGTTAATTAGTAAAATAGAGTTCTATAAGCTTTCCTCATTTTCATAATTTAGTTTTACCATTCTTTACACGGTCACGGATAACACGTTTGTACTAGAAATGTACCGACTAGCCGGCTTTTCCGCCATCTCTATCACAAACGTTTAAAATTATAAAATTTTAAACGGCCATATTTGTAGTCGGCACAAAGCGCCGACTAGTCGTCCTCATATTTTATTCCATTTAAAATAGTTTATATAATCTGTAGGATAATTGTAAAAATGAAATGGTTAACCTTCATTGATAATCATATTTATTTCAGATTCAGTCTTACGGTTTGTAATATAGGATTAAGAACTTTTATAGATAATCTAAGATTAAAAATATTTCTTTCTTGGTTAATAATTGGTCTTAAATCACGAAAACATCATTATAATAAACAAAAAATAAATTTCGTAAATGTAAAGACATAATTCTAAAACACGCGTGTCAATAACTCTTCTCTTAGTAAATAAAACGATACGAGTATTATCATAATGAATAGAAGAATAATCTGGGGGTAGTAGAAATTAAAGTGTACATTATGTATTATTTGACAATAATGGCAATCAAAAATGAGACAAATAGATTAAAAATGTTAGTAATTTAACTAGTCTAACACCCTTACAACACAATTTGCCTATAATAAAAAAATATAATATTATTTGTAATTTTTATATGTATTCGTAAATGCGTGTTCTCACAGTAACTTGAGTATGGATTTGCCTTGATGTTTGCGCATATGTACGCATCTTTTTAGCTGGATTTTAATACAAGTACAGAAACTATATTTTCTGTTTAAATAAAGTCTTACCTTTCAAAAAAGAATTATATCAAGCAATCGGTATTGTGACTGGATTGTGCTCGAGAGTGTGACTACGACTGTTTACTAGGCGAGTGAAATGCCTGCATTAAATACTAGGCTCTATTCGCTTGCGATGTGTAACACCGCCAACTTCCTGACTCCGGGCAACTACTGTGAATTTCTTGACGGAAAAACTCAATAATTAATTTTTTGGCCCGGCCCGGGATTCGAACCCAGGACCTCATGATCAGCAGTCGCGCTACTACAACCACTAAACCAACGAGGCAGTATAGAAAAATACGAAAATACAATATTTTTTTACGAATTTTTTTTCCATCATGAATATAAAATTGAAAGAGGAAAGAAAAAGAACATGTATTAATTTAATTGAAAATTAATTTTTAATTTATTTTAATATGAATATAAATTGCTTAGACTCCTAAAATTATTTTAAATTTAAGGTAGAAGGTAAGTTGGTTAGATCATTGATGGCCAAAGCAAGGAGCAATAACAAATATGTATGAAAAAATACATTCGTATTTGTATTGAGTACATACAGGCATAAGGATTAAAAATAAATGTGTACTATTTCTCCGATTTTTTTTTTGTTTGTAGAAGAGGGGCCAACGAGCATACGGTTCACTTGATGTTAAGTGACTACCACCGCCCATGAACAACTGCAACACCAGGGGAAC